TTGTCATTGTTTTACAGTGGTTGCTTTGTGTGGAAAAATCGTGTAACATGCAAGTCTGACACACACAATAAACCAAAACCTCGACTCTGCACAGACATGTTCATGAGTGTTTGTCCAGCTACATTTGACACTAGCTGGTGATTTTGAAATAAACATTAGCATCAAATTGAAATGATGCACTACAAAACTGACCAACTGTCTTTTCAATAGATATTATGCATTGCGTTTTTGTTTGTACGTGCATTTGGCATGTAGCACACTTTAGTCGTGCTCAGGCCTGTGAGCTGGATGTAAGCTAACCCACTTTTAGTGAAACCTGTGTCTGGTCCCAGCAGGCTCTTTACACGTCCAGCTGCTAACTGCAGGATCAGACCCAGAATTATGTTTCCTTGTTGTTGAATCTACATGGAGTCTTTTCTTCTGCCACAGTGGGACTAAAGGAATGGTGTTTACTGCACAGAGCCAACTGGACTGCACCACTCACTCACACACACAGACACACACACACACTTCAACACAAACATTTAAACACAAGTTGTATTTCATAAAGTTTATGTAAAAATCAGAATCAGAATTTCAGAAGTTTCATTATTTTCTGCCTGTTTATTAACATCGGACTTTACTTGATGGTTGTCACTCGATATGACCAGCAAGAGACATACACATACCCACAATGCATTCATACACACACACACACACACACACACACACACACACACACGTACACATGTACAGGCCAACATCCCCGGCCCGCTCCCCACCCACACTCTCATTGGTTGATCGTGTCGTCACGGAGACAACAGCTGTCTCCAGGATGAAGAAGCTACTTTGAGGGTGCCAGCCAGTCTGCAGGCCTGCAACTGGAGAGTCCCATGGGTCTCTCATGGCCTTCAAAACACACACACACACACACACACATACACACACACGCACACACAGGCAGTGCAACAGGATAAGCGCCCTCTAGAGACGAAAGGATGTTTTTTCCTCTGTAGAGAACATTGTGTTCGTCCTTCATGTTTGTCCTCAGTGCAGGGTGAAGGCCTCAACAAGTCTTGAAACTGCAAAATCAGACTGGACTAATAACATTGGTAAGTAGAACTACTACAGTTGATTGTGAAATAACTGTAGTCACGCTCAGAATTAATTTGAAAATGTCCTTGTGGACACGTAGCGTTACACAAAGTTTTGTTATTTGAACTCTTGTTTTGCTTGTGTATCTGTCTTTTCTTTGCCAGCAGTATCTTCAACATGATGGACAAGAGGTTAGAATACACCCCCTGGGCAGTACTACAGTCACTCACCGTTGCCTGTTGAGGTAAAAAGTGGTGAACCTGTTATGAGACAGGCTGTGCTGTGACTGTCTGCTTAGTATCAGGAGTTAGGAGCACAGGGCTGTACTACAAAGCGACATCAGTGGGTTATCGAGGTATGTTGAGCTTAAAGTCAGAGTTTTCAGTGTCATGAAGGTGGCTCTCTTTTTACCTGCTAGATCTCCATGTTAACTGATGGTGTGGAGCTAACCTGGTCGTGAGCAGGTTATGTTCAGAGTTTCAGATTTAAACCGCCTGGAAAGAGCGTCTCCCTTTAACCAGATCGTTTCCTGACGATTCTCTATGAGTGATACAGATTCTCTGCAGAAGGAATGTGTTTTATCTGCAAACATGCTGAATTGTATGTTACTAATATCACTGAATGAAGCTGTGCAGTTACAGTATCGCACACTGTAAATATCGCGTTGCCATGGGAACCAGACGTGTATTTAGTTGGCACACAGAAGTCACATGAATTTGCTGTCAGGTCCGTTTACTCTGCTGCTACTGCAGCTGATAAAACACAGATTAGAAAATGGATTATTCTGCTGGTATTTATTGCAGAGAATATTCATCAATAACTTTAATTTTGATTTGATTTGACCAAAAATTAAAGTGACATCCTGCATTATGGCACAGTGTCAGACCTAAATGCACTTCAATACAATATCATGTTTAAATGTATTAAGTTTAAAGTTTAACTGTAACGTGCAGCTGTCAGTTGGAAATAAGCGGCTGCATCGATAAAATAGTATATATTAACACGTTTAACAGCCACCATTCCTGTCTTGCACCATTTGCAGTCACAACAGTTTTTACCATCATCAATTTTTATTTTCCTCATTGTTCTTAACAACATTTTGACTGAAGCAGCTGCACATGAGCGTTTCATTTAGTGAAGAAGAAGAGTCACGTGACGCGTTAAACACCCCTTTTTAATGTGAATGCGCACAGACTCTGAAGCAGAAAGCCTGAGTTGACAAGAAAGTTGATAACCACCTTTGTGATACATGTAATCTCCCGCTGGGGCTTTTGTTTTTGTCGCTTACACAAAGAAAGTCTGGCTGTGTCAAACTTGCTTCGTAGTATACCCCTCTAAGTTGTCTGATATTCAAATTACAAGCAAATGGAGCTCAACTCCATTTTCACACCAAATTTTTAAATTGGCTTTCAGACTTTTTGGTACACTGAACATAGAATTTCACCCTCTTTTCTTTGACTTGTCAGTATGATCCATACTATTTCCAGGCATACTTATTTTCAGCTATAAACATTATTTCTCTCTGGAGGATCAAAATATTTTTTCTGCAATATTCAGTTTTCAGTTTTGACAATATTATAGATGCTATCACATTTTCAGTCGTGGTACTATTGCAAGCATGAACTAATCTAATCACCAAAGTAACGATTAAATGGCAATGGATAATTGGCCTAATAAAAACAACAATAACAACAAAAAAAAAACCCAATATAAGCAGTTTATTATACTCAGCCTATAGTTTGCAGATACATTTAGTTGAATCAACGCAAACTCTCACAGAAAAATCGGCATCGGATTTGATGAAACATTTTCTGTTGCCTGTTTTTATTTATGTAATTATTTTATTCTGAAATGAAAATTCAGTGGTTTACTGTAGTGAAGGAAAGCGTTTTGTACCAAGTCTAGTTTTGACACAACACACACAATGCTGACTCACTGACGGTGGAGCTGTGTGTGTGTGTGTGTGTGTGTGTGTGTGTTGCATGTGTTGTTTTGGGTTGACTGCAACTGTCAGGTTAACAACCATCTAATCTGCAGCTGCCACTGACGCAGCAAATGTATGTCTATGCACACACACACATTTACACAGCCGGCCTACATAACACACAGACCTGAGCCCCCGACTGACCAACTGCAGGGCATGCTGGTAAACTGACCGGCACATTTATTTAGATAAATGGCAGACATATAGGCCACTATATTTCCTCTTTGACTTCTCCTTATCTTACCCTGTAGTCTTCCTCCTTTTCTTTTCACTGTGTCTTCTTTCTGTCTTTGAAGGCTCCTTCCCCTGCCTGTCTGTTCCTCACCTGCTTCTGCTGCCCTGGAAACTGATTCCTGTGCCTTCATCTTGCCAGATGCTCAGACACTATTGTTAAGAATGTTTTGTCTGACATTTATAAAATAGGGATAATCACGTTTTTTCAGTCAAGCTGAAACATTTTCAGCTTATGTATACAATCTTAGTTTGTTTCATGTTTGAATTTGAGCTAATAATCAAACATAACTGACACCTGATGTGAGATTTTTTTTTCAGTGTTGTGTTAAAAAAAAGTCTTGAGACAGTCCAAAGGAGCAAGATACAGCATACTGTGCTTTTTTGAACTTTATTGATCACATCTTGTTTCCACAACTCCAACAACTTCTTCCCAGAGTTACAGTTTGGTCAAATCTGACATCATATTGTTATGAAACTGTTGTTTCCACTGATAGTGCTGTCTGTGGTAAATCATAAATCCAAAAATTAGATGTTTCTCATGATTTCTTGTTTTCATATCTTGCCTGTTACTAAGATGTTTGAAAAATTTTATATGAAAACTCACCTATAACAGGAAAAATACAGTGAGAAAAAAAGGATTATGTCTTTTAATACAGTGTAAGTAAACTTCTGGTTTCAGCTGTAAGTATCATGTCATGTGCCACTTGCTGGCATTTCTGAATAATTAAATTATTATAAGGCACATTTGTTAAAACATATTGAAATAATCTTTTAAAGGGAAAAGAGAAGTGTAAACTAGGCTGGTCCATCGGCCTCTCTCTCTCTGTCTTGTCTGTATCCCTCTCATCTCATTCACAAAAACATACATACACACACTCACTGTAACTGCACACTCATGGCTGGATGTTGATTGACAGGTGGGACAGGTGTGGCCGGTCTGTAGCAGCGCCCCACCTGTTGATATGACCCCCTCCGTGCCCAATAACACACACACACACACACATACATACACCTCTCTTACCCCTCTTCCACCCCTTTGACCTGACCTTATGATCAACTTCCTATACCCGTGGTGGGCAGAGTAACAACCCTCCTCTCGCCCCTGGCAACCATGACCCAGTTTTAGCTGCAGCTTCATAAATAAAACTGTATCTGCATGCTAAAGGCCCCAGTACCGTTTACAGTCACCCCATGAGCCATGACCTTTAACCTCTGCACCCACATCACCCCTCATTGAGACACCATTGGGAAACCGCAAGTCCCAGTTCAGCAAAAATAAAACCTTTGACTTTACTCCGTACTGACAAATATGAGCTATTTAAACTATAGACTACTCTTAAAAAACATTAGATAGACATAATCTATCAGAGACTGTGCAACATGTTCAGTTAGGTACGTCTTTTACATATCAGATGATATCAGCTGGAGAAAGAAACTAGAGCAAGTTCAGCTGATTAGTTTTTGCAGTAGGACACTAAGGCCTAGTCTACGCATGCACAAGCATTTTCTTTCCTCCTTTGTTCTTAAAGTATTGCGGCACCACGCTGGATTTCCAGTGTGCAGCGTTTACCTCTAAAAAAACATATATAGGACTACATTGCCAATTAAGTTTGTCTACCAGAGGGGAACGCAGCTTTTCCTGTCAACCAAACTAATATCACTAGCCAATGGGAAGCAGAGTGGGGCCGGGTCTTAAAAAGACGTCGAGATCCAGCTGCAGTTGAGTCCATGCCAGAGTTTCACGCAAGTTTCATGTGAGTTTCAGGGAGTTCGGTGCACTGATATCAGGAGCATGGAGAAGAGATTCTTGAAGCCAGGGAGGACGTCCTCATCGATCGGCGGTGGACATGGTTGGAAGAGTTAAGCAGAGACGGCAAGCCCTTTGGTTGCTGGAGCAAAAATTTGAAAGAGCCGGGTGCTTGCTTCTGTACTATCTGCTCAAAAAAACTCATGTACACAACGCAAAGAAAGTGCTGTCAGATCACTAGTCAGACACAGCTGCTGTCCATGCTCTGAAATTCACAATTCGTTTGCCGACAGCCACCACTGAGGTACCGGCATCAATGACTGACCAGGTTTACGATTTAAAAATACGCGTCGTTCACCATACCTCAGCCCCTCGTTAATCTGTGCAAAAAGTTGTCTGAAGATAAAAAATGCTTGGTCAAAACTGTCTGTATCAAAGCAGCATGCTGGTTACATGGTATAGCGCCAGCATTTAAGAAAAATCATTCTGAAAAGCTCAAAAATGTGTGTTTTCATTGAATATTGACCAAGTATTGTATTTCAAAACTAGAAAACACTTCATAGAGTGCAGACCTCCGACAAGCAGCTCATTTCCACCATATTGGGATTTCCAGCCAGTGTTAAAGTCCTGCATTCATTTTATCTACGTTACGACCAGCTGGCTAGGGACAAGGGAAGTAACATAAAACCCTGATGTTGTGAGGTATTTTAAAGTTTTTTATTAACAAGATTTAACAATAAACACAAAGTAAGGCAACGAAAGTCTAAATGAGTGCTGTGAAAACAAGAAAAAAAGAGGAGACTCTAACCTAGAGTTTAAAATTACTATTATGCAAAAAAAAACAAAAACAAACAAAAAAACGATCGAACTGATCCAATCTAATAACAAAAATACAATTATGACAGCACTCAAAAACTAGTGAGGCTAACAGCAAATCTAAGGTGTGTGCAGGGTTCTTTCAACAGGATCTAGTGCCTCAACAAGTTCACAGAATTAACAACAACCAAAAGTTACAAAGAGGCACATGAGCAGGGCTGGTAACAGCTCGCTGCTGAATGCTGGTCTGCTGGCGTTTTAGATCCTCCTGGTGTCTCCTGATCCAGCACAGGTGGATAGAAGCACATCAGCTCAATCAGTTCCTGCTGCAGGGTAACCTGAGGGCTGCAGTGCAGACACACACACACACACACACACACACACACACACACACACACACACACACACCTACTGAGAAGAGGGAGGTGAAGGTTCTCAGAATATGATGGCGGCCGTAACGCTCCTCCCCTTAAGATACAAACCCACACAGTTAGGTTTGGTACAAGAACAGAATTAATCACAATGTCAACATAACGGTCTGAACAGCACATCAGCAACAACATTTTCTGACCCGTTCTTATCTCTAGGTGGTAATCCTGCATGATCAGGGCCCACCGCATGAGTCTCTGGTTGTGGTTATACATGGGGTTCAGAAACACTAGTAGGTTGTGATCAGTGAAGACCACTAAGGGGACTAGAACCCACGTACACTTCAAAATGCTGGAGTGACCATAACAAAGCAAGTGTCTCTCTCTCGCTGTGGTTGAATACTTCACCTGGTGTTTGTTAAACTTTGGTGAGAAAGAACACACGGGGTGATCGACTCCATCACTATCCTCCTGCAACAGGACAGCCTCGCCTTCCACAGCACAGGCATCCATCTCTGTTTAAATGGTCAGGAGAAGTCGGGAGCTGCGAGGTCGGGGACGTGGCCAAGGAGTGTTTTAGCACTGTCCAAAGCATGCTGACAGGTAGGGGACCAAACAAAGTCAACTTTGGGACTCATCAGTGAAGTTACGGGCTGAACAACTGTGGAGAAATTACGACAGAGGCTTTGGTACTATCCTGCCATACCTAAGAAGCGGCGAAGAGCTTTACGCAAGTTCGGGACTGGGAAATCGTCAATGGCAGATACTGTAGCAGCGAGAGGTCTGACTTAGTCTTGGCCCACCTGTCTCCCCAGATAGGTGACAGTAAACCTTGCCAAAGTCACATTTGGCAAGGTTTAATGTCAGAGAGGCGTGCGCTAGACAACTGAACACCTGTCCGAGGATGTGGAGATGCTCCTCCCATGTCATGGTGTACACGATTAAATCATCCAGGTATGCATTACAGTTAGGCAGCCCAGACAGAACAGTGCTAACCAAGCACTGGAAAGTAGCAGGAGTGTTACACATACCGAAGGCCATACTGTAAAAAAACAGTCAGGCGTCACAAAGGCGGAGATTTCAGATGCGCGCTTGGTTAACAGGACTTGCCAGAATCTTTTTAGCAAATCTAGTTTGTTGACATACTTTGCGGAGCCAAGAGTATCAACACAGTCTTCCAGTCTTCCTCACTAGACGTTTTGGAGGAGAGGAATTTCTCCTGCAGGGACTTAAGTGGACCACAAAGTGTGTGTCCAACGGCAAGCTCTGGAGGACTAAATCCTAAGGATTCCTGGACGGCATCACGGGCAGCAAATAACATGAATTCCCTCATCCCAACTCTTATCTATTTCTGAGGAGTATTTGCGCAGCGTAGACTTTAACGTGTGATGCCAGCGTTCTAATGCTCCCTGGGATTCAGGATGATACAGACTGGATACAGAGTGTTTTACATTCAAGGTTTTAAGGACTTGCTTGAAAAGTCGTGACTGTAAGTTGGTGCCTTGGTCCATATGGATTACATGAGGGAGGCTAAATATGGAAAATAATTTTGTCAGAGCTTTCACTACAGAGCTAGAAGTGATTTTATGCAATGAAATGGCCTCAGGATAACGGGTGACTGCACATAATGGTGAGTAAATATTGGAGCAGGTGGAATTTTCTGGTTTGGTTTACCCACTAGTTGGCACACATGACAACAGCAACAAAATTTGGTGATGTCAGTTTTTAACCCAGGCCAAAAGAAATATTTGAGAATGAGCTTGCAACTCCCAATGACCTGATCATTTGCTCTCATGGGCAATTGATAGCACATGCTGCCAATACACAGAAGGCACAACAACTTGAAAAACACTACACTTGAAATAATCACTGAAGTATTTCATTTGCACACCAGGATTTCTTTATTCATAAGATAGGCTACTGATTCACCACTTGCTTTGTTGGCACTTACCACGCTTTCAAAGCAATGTTTTAGAGTCATGGTAAAGAGTTAAAGTGAAACAGGAGACATGTTGAGTCATTGTTAATGTTGCAACGTCGTTATGAACTTATCTGTCGGTAACTCCGTTCAGCCCACTCCTGTGATGCTGCCTGGCTGTAGCTTCCTCCTGTACTACTGAGATGACAGCGGTGAGGACTGAAGGACTGAATGGAGTCAGAAAACACAGTTGAAGTACTGTCAAGAGTATGCTAAAGCAACAGGCAGCAATATAACCCTAACCCTGAAGCCATGTTTGCCAGTGGAAGCCTGAAAAACAAGCCACTGCCAGTTCCAAAAGGCTGCCAACAATGGTGCACTGAGGAAAACAGGAATGTATATGTGGAGTGATCCTGATGTCTCTGTTCTTCAGTATAGAGGTAGGACGTTGACATTTATTTACAGTTATTGCTCTACATGCAAAAAGTCTTCAACTTGCAAAAAGTCTTGTTAGCAAATTGAGCAATTGCGCTATTTATCACCCAACTATTGTACAAAATTGGCTTACATAAACAACAGTGCACACTGTGACATCCCAAGCAAAAAGGATTTCCTTGTTTGCTCTCTCTAGTAGTTTCACATTGTACATTGTTTTTTTATTTTTTTTATTTGTCCAAACCTGTTAATTGCGTA